GTGATAGGGATAGAACAGGGGTGGGAAACTTGCGGCCTTGAAGTCACAGGTTTCCCAACCCTGGACTACAGCATAGTGGAGAGATGGTGGCTGGATATATAGATTTGGGAGTTATTTCTGCATAAATGACAATGGGATTGATGAGATCACTAGAAGAGAGAAGAAAAGAGAACTTCAGATAGAACCTTGTGGAATAGCCTCACTTCTGAGGAGAGATCTAGTAAACAAGAATGGGAAGGAATGGTCAGACAGGTAGGAGTACTGGAAAGAGCAGGGTCAGGAGAGCTGAGGGAAAAGAGTGTATCCAGGAGAAAGGGAGGTCAATGCCATCAAAGCAGCAGGGTAGTTATAAAGAATGAATGAAAAAAGGTCATTGGCAACTCTGAAGGACTTATGATGAAAAATGCTATCCATCCCCAGAGAAAGAACTGATAGTGCCTGAATATAAATTAAAGCATGCTTTTTTTCTAACTTTCTTTACTTTTCTTATTTTTGTCTATGTTTTCTTTCACAACATGACTATTATAGATATGTTTTACATGACTACACGTGTATAACATATCAAACCTCTTACCTTCTTAACGAGGGGGAATGGGGAAGGAGGAAGGGAGCGAATTTGGAACTCAAAGTTTTAAAAATGAATATTAAAAATTGTATTTACATGTTACTGGGTGAACTAAAAATAAAATACTTTTGGAAAAAGAAAAAAGGTCATTGGATTAAGAAAAATTGAAGATGGTGGGGAGAGTGGGGGAGATCACTGAAATGCCAAGCCCCAAGAGAAGATGGGAGACTAGACTGTAGGTTCCATGAGAGTACAAGGTACTATACTGAAAATATTAAAAAACCCACTTTACAGACTCCTCGGGTTCCTTTGTGCCATTTCATTTAGTGCAGTGGACAGAAACTGGCCAGGGAATCAGGACAAGTAAAGTTCAAGTCCTACCTCTGACACACAGAGACCAAGTTAATTAACCTACTGGTGCCACTAAACAACTCTCAGACTATTCATTGCACAGCAGTCGCTCTGATAGAGAAGTTTCTTCATAGGGAATTCCTTTAAAATGAAATATCTGACATATGCACATACATGCATAATACACATATGAACACATATAGACAGAGAAATATATAGATATATGGGTACACACACAAACACCCACATTTTAAAAACTGAGTTATCCAAAGAGAACTATTTTTTCTAAGCAACAAAGAGGCTAGGCTTTGTGTCCTCTTGAAGGGCACTTCCAGAATTGCTTGTCTATAAAGCACACACATATTACTAGTAGGGGAAAAAAAGATCCTATCAGATGCTAAAGGCCACGGAGCAGACCCTTGGCCAGTGCTAAACAGTCACAGTGGACATGCACGCAGTGTTTCAACAGCTGACAAAGCTGGAGAGAGAAATGTGTCCTCAGGAACAGGCTGGTGATGAGAGGAGGACCATGTGATCCAAGGTTGTCCTCCTGCCATTTCCACTGTGACTGCACTTTGAATCTTACCACTTGAACAGAGCAGAAAGCTAGCTGCTTTTATCTTCAAAGGACAAATGCAAGCCCAGGGAGCATGAATAGACTGCAAACTTTTCAAAGTAATATTGATCTAAAAAAAGTTTTCTCCATCAACTTAGAGCCTCCAAAATTGCAGTCTTCACTAAATCCATGATGTCTCATTGCCCATGCTCATTACTACAGAGACACATGAAAATGATATTCCACAGGTGTGTGAAAATGATTACCAGGACATACAATTTATTTCTCCTTAGAATTAACTGACAGTTTGGGCTTTGGAAAGAGGAAAGAATCTTTGTTTTACTTCCCTAAACATTATACACAATTCAGCATTTGTTGTGGAAGAGACAAAAGACCCTTGAATGCTCAACTGAAACCATGGCTTTTCCCCACCTATAAACACACTCACCTTTACACTTCAAGGACATGAACTTTAGCTTTTGAAATGGCACAGCAGAAAGTGCAAGGAGAAAGTACCCGGCATGCAAACAGCTGAAGAAACATTATTGGCATCTCCTGATTCTGTCGAATAAGGGCTGTATTTATTGCCCCCAAGCTCTATAAAACATTGAGATAATTCAAAAACAGATCAGGGAAGTCTGGGACTCAACAAATAGCACCTGTCTGTAGGAAGTAACATAAAAAAAAAAAAAAAAAAAAAAATGG